ATATCTAACACTTCAAAACAAAGCATATTTGATTAGTGGCAAAATATGAAGGTACCCAGCAGACTTATGCAGTTTTCCTTTGATTTTTTTCTGCAATATAGAATGACAAACAAGCTGACAGCCTACCTCATGGAAAGTGGTAACTGTCGTCTATAGACATTGTGGAGTACAGGCCACATATATTATTTATAGCTATATATTATTATTTACCAAATTCGAAATTGACACGCATATCTATTGTTTCCTTTTGGCTTTCCTTTACGGCCCTAGTCTTCTAAGTTCCTTTGACTATTATATACATATTTCCAATTTCCATTTCTGATTTCCTTTGTCGCCCACAGACATGAACAGCACCTTGGACATTACAGAGTGTACTGTATCGCTCATGGTACCCTTCATGTGTTTGTTGCCATTCCTGAGGATTAAGGTGTAATGTGTGGTAAAAATATGATCAGACAAAAATAAACGAACTTTTCTATTACGACATTTGTATGCAATAAATTTAAATAACGAAAACCTACTTAAAAAACCTTATTAACATAAAATAGCTTCTTTTGTATTACTGATTGGTAACCGTCCCAGTTCTAAAATAACTGTTATCTAATTACATTACCATTATTGCATATTAATTACGATGAAAATAATTTGATCATATATTCTGAAATTCTTAATTTGTTATTATAAATTTAATTATATCTTAGACTTATAAATAGTCTCTGATTTATATAAATAAATGGGGGAGGTTTATATTTAGCAGTGGCTGGATAACGGCTGAGATAATGATGACGGTGATGATTTGTATAAAGTGTAAATTAGCGCCTGTTAGCTTAGACTTATACTTTTCAAATTCATGTAGGTGTCATTTTAAAACGATTGTCACTAATTTCGTGCTTTGAAGGGCACGTAAGGTTGTCGTTCGGTAATGTCAGAGACCTTCGTGTAAAATGAAGGCGGCCTAGAAATTTCTGACATCAGAGAGCGCTATCCTACATTATTAGTAATAATTAATTAATAGTCTATTTGTTTAAAATTCGGTTTTAGTTTTTGTTCATCATCATCATCACCATAACAGCCCATATTTGTCCACTGCTGAACATAGGTATCCTCCTATTAGTGGGTTATGCCAGTAGAAATCCTAAAAATTCTTGACATGAGAAAGCACTACCCTATACAACTAGTAATAATTAATACTGTTTTTGTTCAAACTCCAGGTTTTGTTTTTGTTCATCGTTATCATATCAGCCGTTAACTGTCACTGTTAAGTGAAGGATGATAGGTGAGTTAGCCCATCTTAACGGATTCAACAAGAATTGTTCACGATGGTTTCCAGGGGGATCCAGGCGGGTGTCGATCTAATAGGGCATACCGCTAGCAATGGGGCTGTCAAACTCCCATTGCTAACAATCCCTTCCCCCCTCCCCCCTCGTGACATTTATTATCAGGTGAGCCGTTAGTATATACACCATACTTCGTTGCATAAAAAAAAATCTAGCAGTTTTTCGCTATTTTTTGCTACAGCTCGTACTACATATTTGATGATGCGTCTGTCAAAAAGGAAGGACGCCGCGTAATTGGTCCGGCCGCCGGATAAATTCTAACAAACCCCGTTCCGTTTTCGGCGTCCTATGCGATTTAATGAGCGCCATTGAATGTGATACAAATATTTTGAGGGACGCATTCATATTTTTAATTGTGTGTTTATATAAAGATTTAAAACATATTGATAAGATTCGTCATTATGAACGATGAACATACCTACAATTTATAAAATTGTTTTTATTTAATATCTAATACAGAATAATTTTCTGAGTTTGATACTCAGCTACAATCATGTAATAATCACCAGAGGGAGACCTTGTACAAAAGTCTATTGCTTGGGTACCTCTGTCCCATTCGTGTTTCAACCGTGAAGCAGTTGTGTTTGCATGACTGTGTTTCGGTTTGAAGGGTGGGATATGGCGTGAATTTACTGGGTACAGAGGAATAACACCTGAGTTCTCAGGAATGGCAACGCGTGGGGGGGGGTATCATGGGCGAAACAGTATACTCTGTTATGTCCATGGTACTGCTACGTCTATAGGCGACGGTTACCACTTTCCATCAGGTGGGCCGTCAGCTTGTTTGCCATTCTAAGTTGTATAAAAAAAAAGTATTGGCGTATTTAAAATTATTTTCCAGGGTTCTAGTCATTTCAAAAGGCAAATTATGTATTCTCAAATATGTCCTTGTGCATTATTAAAAATTATACTCACATTCTAGGGTGGGCACCAGACAATTCTGGGGTGGGCATGGGCCACTGGGCCTCTTAAGTATACTTATAATAGATACTTAAATTTTTTTATACATAGGTGACGAACAAGCATACAGTTTATTTGATGGTAAATGTCTCTAACACTAGGGGTGTTACGTGCGCGTTTCCGACCGTGAAAAAACCTTAATATACCATTTTTGAAGAATCCCATAGATCCCACTACATAAATAAATATAAGGAATAGGTTATATTATTTCAGTTGATGAGTTTTTTTTTTGATGGATGAAAATGGTATGGTAACCCCGCCTGCGCTAACGGGATACGCTGGTGGGGCACCAGTGAATGGTGCTCGATGAGGATGAAAATAGGCCAGTTAGCCCATCATGATGAATTCATCAGGAATTAACCATGATAGTTCCCAGGGAGAACCGCGAGGAGGTCGACCTGGTTGAGTACATTGCTAGCAATGGGATTCTCAGTCTCCATTACTAACAATCCCTTTCCCTCCAGTTGATGAGTATTAATTCCACGCAGAGTTGAAATTGAGTTGAAAATAATTCTTAAGGAAAGTAACTAAGAGTTTCTTTTTTCTACTTTAGTAAGATTAAGAAGAAGAAGGAATAAAAAAGGTTGATTACGAAAAAAATATTTTTCAACTGAAATGCCATATGATAAATACGGAATAACCGTTCAACTGAATAAACACACTATTAACATGGCCTGATAAAATACCATACGACTTAGGGATAGTTATCATTTGTTCTTAATTTTTAACGTTTATTATTATTAAAACAACGCAATTTTTATTAAAGCATGACAGACAAATTCTACATCTAGTAGTAGCACTACTAGACATAATATTTGTCTATGGCGCTGTGTTAGCAACTAGTAATTGGACAAGTTTCTATGTACATTTTTTTAGTAATAGTTCTGTGTATGTAACCATAGCTATTTTAGCTATTATCGTATCATATTATCAATTTAAAAAAAAAATCTATGTATTTTCAATTTTTCAATTTAAATTCGTACCGAATTTCAATGAAAAGATGTTTCAATGTAAAGAAAAACAAAAGATAATTAAAATAAAATTAATTATTTGAATGCGCTTTTTCATAGATTGAGGATAAGTAATGTAAGCACATAGATGAGTACTATAACAATATTGCGTAGATATTTTAATTCTTACACACCTATTTTTCTACGAAAAATTCATTCTCCATTTTATCATGTTGACCATAAAAGGATTCAAGAATGCTGTTTATATAATCGTTTAATTTGCAATGTTAAACAGCTTGGACCAGATGTCTTCTTGGTTTTTAATCCAGCAAAATATTCATTAATGTATGTATTTTTTGTGGAAACAATAAGTCCGGAGTCCGCAGTTGACCATAAATTAAAATAAAATTAATATTGTGTTGCTGTTTTACAGAAAACATTCTGTTCAACAATATTAAAATTATGTTGTTTGAATTAAAAGTAAAACGACATTGTTATGAAACTGAAATTTATACGAAGAAATGATTCGTATTTTTAATTATATAAATAATTAAGAATGAGTAGGTAAAACCGTTACTTACATGATTGGTCTAAAAACATACATATTTAATTTATATTTTTTTTGTATTGCAAGAAAAAAATTTTCATATATTTATTATATTTAAAAGGTGAACATATTAATACGAGTATTATATATTGTTTAAATTACCTTATAAATTGTATACCAATTCAGTGTTGAATTTTATGGTATTTCTACTGTTTGAAATAAATCGCTTTATCATACATACATATATATCTGTCACGCTTATCTCCCATCTCCTCTTTTTTAGTTAACCATATAGCAATGTCCCACTATTAGGCAGGGGGTTTTCACATTATATATTAATACGAAATTAGTTAAAAATATCTGTAAATTACGTAATATGTAAGATGTGAATCATGTATAGGCATTAGGCATACTGCGTCACCTACGCTACATGCGTTATTACTTCTAAGAACTAATATATTATGCATATTAAAAGATGAACTAGTTATGTTCAAATTTCAAACATTAAGTTCATGGCAAAAATATATGAGATGTTAAAATCTGCCCCCACAAGTCACCAAATTCAAGAAAACCCCTACCATCGGTTTTATTAATTACATTAAGGGAAAGTTGAAAAAGGATTGTGTAATTACGATAATGTTTGCAAATCAAAATCAAATATCATAGCTATTAAGTTTTCTTTGATCAGTCGATACTTACGTTCTTACATTTTGTTTACGCTGCATAAATGTTTGCAATTGGGTATTTAGAATAAAGATCCAACGCAGAATCGTATATATATATATATAACCTATATATATGTTTATATATATATAGGTTATATATATATATATAACGGGGTGACGGCCCACCAAATGGAAAATTGTAACTATCGCCTAAAGTACCTTCTAAACTAAGAATGCACTATTAAATAATAAAAAAAAATTCAATTGTGACAAAACCGATTATTTTGATTTAAAACTATTGAACTGATTTTGATAAAATTTTTATGGGACTGAAAAAAATTTCAAATCGGTTTTACAACAGTTATGAGGTAACAAACATAAAATTGTGAATTTGAAATTGTGAATCTCTTTTTTTTCAAGTTGGTAGAAAATAAATGTTTTTCCATAGATGTAACAGACTACTCTGTAATGCTTATTGTACCTCTCATGTATGAGATTACTGAAGACCTTGTCAAGGGACATTAACAAGTAAAACAATGTATTAATTTACAAAATTTTATTTTCCTCCTGTCGCCGGCTTTCTTACGCTAGTTAAGTATGTTCTTTCTTTGTGTACTGGTAACACAGCAACTGACGTTTCACATAACAACCTGCACGGACTTAGGTTTTATTTAACACAATTAGTTGCAACGTCAAATTCCACCTAATTAATTGTTGCTTGTATTATCTTGGCTTACGAACCGATTGTGACCGCAAGTCCGTGCAGTTTCGTAAATTAAACATATAGTTAGATGGCAAGACTCACTAAACGCTAACATTATTTTTATGTCGATGTGTTCTTCAAGCATTCGTGTTTTATAATAAACAACAGCTTGACATGCTTTGTTTTTTAAATGATAAAATAAATAATTTGAGTAAGTTGTTAGTTGTGTTTATGGAAAGTTGGGTTGGAAAATAAATATATATTCTATCTTACATTTTAATATTACAGTCGTGAATGTAAAAATAATTATTTAAAAGTAATACAATAGCCATTAAGATACTCGGGCTAACTCCAAATGGAAATTAGATGTTCGATAGTTCTATAACATTGATTAAAACAAATAAACTTTATATTTTGAGTGAGAGCATGATTGTAACACATCGACATTCAATAAACAAATCGTTTATATTTCAATAGGTAGATACGATAACGGAATACATGTATGAATATTTAATGATTCATATAATGTATAAGTAGATTTTATATACAATAAGGAATGTTAGCGTTTGAGATTACTTACATAGTATGACTGTATATATTTTAAATTGAATTTAACAAATTTATTTGATGGTAAAACATAGATAATTATGTACAGAGACCAATAGTTATTTTTTTTTATGGAAAGTTGGCATCAAAATTATTGCTACGAAGTTTTGCGTCCAAATTTTAGGTACAAGATGTGTCTACTTAGATCTAAATGTTTACACTAATATGTACATTTAAAACGAATAATAATAACGGGCTATTAAAACTAATAACAGCTCGTTGTTTATACACGAAATAACAAATTTATTCGAGAAAAAATATTTACATAGCAAGATTGCAAATCACAGAGATGAGTGCGCAAGAAACACAGTTGATGTTATGAACAAAGTTTTAATTAAGTAATTATTTATCAAATGGTACACTCACTGGCAAGAAGCATTATTTACTTATATCCGCACTTATGAGTACCTAATGATACAAAGACATAACATGGTATTTGTCTGGAGATATAATTAATAGTATCCAAAGGCTTTTTCTGTGCAAAGGCAAGTAACAATAAAAAATTGAGTGGGTAATACTCACGCGATATTTAATTAGTTCCAGCTCTTCAAATAAATTATTTATTTTCTCATTAATTCTTAATGATACAATAAAAGCGGGCACAGCTCACAATCATTGTTAATTAAAAAATAATTAATTATTTTTTATAAAAAAATGAACATAAAATAATATCTATATCATTACTAAAATAGATTTGCTTAAAGTTATTGCTCTGAGGGTTCGAAATATATTTGACAATGAAACACACAGTCCGCTTGAGATCGGCTTGCACTCGAGTTTCGAAATGTATCAATGCAAATTCTTAATGTCAAATATAAAATATTTCCATAGAGTCGACTGCAAGTGTAGTTCCTTCTCACTTATTTTTATCACTAAGGTGTTTGTTAGCATGCTGTATTCCTTTACGGTGATATAAGATTTCATACTACAAGGGTCGACAAAGTATGAATGATCTCTTTGATATTACATTGAGTTGTACTGATCGGTTATCATCAGGCGGACTGTAAACTTAATTATCATCTTCGATGTATAAAAAATGTTTGTGTTCAGTGCTCGCTCCAACCAACAAGAAAGTTCATTGTTCCATCACAATTATTTCTACAAAAATTAAAATTCAGGCAATGTTTGTATGTAGGTTGTCACAGTATATTTACTGTGGGGGAAGGGATTTTAAGTAATGCGAACTATCAGTCCCATTGCTAGCAATATGCCATGTCAGGTCGACTTCTTCGTGGTTTCCTTTGGAAACCATCGTGCTGAATTTTAGATGTAGGGGAGACTGGGGCTGGTTGTGCCAGGGGTACGTAGTTACAGTGGCAACAGCGGCGAAACAAGGAAAGATACAGTTACGTAAGAAAGACATAAATAACGCCACCATTACACCGCTCACACGGCGCGAGAGCTAGCAGCGCCAGAGTTTTCGTGAATGGAGTACATATGTATCGGTAATAAAACAGCAGGTTGGTAAAAATTTCTATTTTTAGTAAAATTGTCTACAATCTGTTTTCCAAATAATCAGAGAGTCTGGTATTATTATTGCGCTTTAATGGTTACTTTTTACGATAAAACTACGTTTGTAAAGTTGTATTCATTTGTGTTTTTAATACTTAACTTCAAAAGATCAATTTTAGCGTTGAGGCTAAAGGTAACATTTGTTCGGGACAGGTTGTGAAATATCATTCTCTACCCCGTGGTTTTTCTTTCTAATTGATATAATTTATAATTTATTGTTATTGACGGACTGTTTTATTACTGACAGACCTATAGAGGATACTAATCCAATTACTGGATATTCTAAGGATATTGAAAATATTTTTTATATCCTTTGGCATGCAAATATTTGGCCTTATCCGAAAGCAGCTGCCAGAAAAACTGAGATAACGCAACGGAAAACTCACAAATTCGCTATCTTAATTGATACGCTGGAAAAAAAACTTTAACATGGAACAGAAGAAGATTAAATCAAGTTCAGGAAATATAGATAAACAAAATATCAAGAAGATAAGAGAAGCAACTAAGTAAACAAGAAAGTTAACAGTAAGGAAGAAGGTACTACATGAAACTGATGAAGAAAGCATAGAAGAGGAATATTTTCGTCTGATATGTTGTGACCCATTTGATACCGAGAAAGCGAGTGAAGAAAGGGTAGTGTGTTTTGTTTGTAAAAATTGGTCACATGTCAAATGTATTCAAGGAAATATTACACACTACTGTTTGAACTGCGCAAGTGACTATTCAGACGATAGTGATTGAACTGCTTCTTTTCCTTGTAGGACCTTTTAATTTTATTTTTAATTATTTTTTTTTTTAATTTTTGAGTTAATGTAACTTATGTTAATTCGTTTTAAGTTTTTGCTCGATAAAGAAGTTTTTTTTTCTTATACGTGAGAAATAATCAACGTTTTGTTTTTCTTATTATAAAACTCATCCCCGGTCTCCCCTATTTATCACGATAGTCTAACTGACCTGTCTTTTCGGTTTTACATATAATTTCTCACTGCTGCTCCACCATACCGTTAGCGCAAGCGGAGTTACCATCCCATTATCACTCATTCAAGAAAAAAAAGTAATTCTACTGAAGATATTCGTAATATTTAATTTAAAAATTAATCATGACTGTTTTGTGTTAAAGAGGATCCATCACTACATGCATACAGTGCCAACAATTTTAAATTTATGTTACAAATTTTATTATTATTAGTATATTTTAAATTTTCAATAAGTTATTGATATTTGAGTAACATTCAATTATGTTGTTCGATGAATCTTTTTAATAAAATAAATTATTTAAAGTAATAAACATTATCTTATGAAAGTTTTCTAGCAACCTATATTACATTTCCGTGCTCTGGATCCAAAAGGAATCCCCTTTGCTTTAGATATGCCATTGTCACTTTCTCACACGTACATCTCATTATCACTTTCTTTACAGCAACAACATTTTACAGACCAACCCTTAAGTACCAGTTAAATGGAAATTTCCATGTAGCGAGTAAAGTTTTTACATAAATTGCCATTTTCACAACCGAAATTAAATATGTAGTAGGTACTAAAGTATATAATTTAACAGTTCAATAACTGCAGAAAAATTATTACTCACTGATTAACATTGGGAATGAGTAGTAATAATTCTGCTACGGCTTATTTCAACAGTCTAGGACACAACACTTCACTCTGCCTCTGCGTCACTGGCTGGAGACGGAAGTTGAGGCTTGAGGGATGTGGCGATTGTTAAATCGAGTGCTGGTTCTTGCAACCCAGGCGTACTCGGCGGATGAAGGCTCTGAGCACCCATTTGAGATCGCACGTAATGCTGGGACGTCGAAGCCCCGTCGAGCTCCGAAGATGAGCAGGCTGCCATCGTCGGAGGCGTCCAGCAAGCAGCGCTCGAAGGCTCAGGTTTCATTCCCGTCGCGCTGAGGTAAGAACACGCCATCATCTGCAAATAAATACTGCATGTTAAATGAGCAAAAAATACAAATGATCTTTACAATTACGTAGATTGTTCGTGTTATCTCCAGAGTAGATTGGAGTAAAAACAGAACTTACATAAATAATGAAATATGTAGTATTATGAGATGAGAGGCTAAAGAATTTGCGGGTGGTGCGGAGGGAGGCTGTTTCTCTAATCACGCTAATAGCCAATGCGCAGCTTCCCCTCCCTGTGCGGTCTTGCCTTAGCTCGCTCCAAGGAGGCTTTCACACTAATCGAAGTGAGCGCAGGAGCAGAGCAGTTTTGGATAAATCGTATCACACGTCCGCTACTCCGACACTTTCCGCCCCATAAACAACTTCTCGCATTTACACAAAGTTTAGAGTTCACTTTAAGAAAAATATACCTATAAAAGTAACACATGAAAATTTTTCAGCTAGTTTAGTGATCAAAATGTGTTATGAGTTTAGAATGTTAAACTGTTGTAGGAAAATTAGCTTGTCCTAAACGTGTTTATTTTGGTTTTTGATGTAGTTTCTTATACGATAAATCCACGTGCCCTATATCCATCCGAAATATGAAGCAAGCAGTTATTCATGAATTAGAAAAAAAATCAAAGAGTCGCAGTCAGATTTTTCGTTTTCTGCTAATTTTGTTTTTTTTTTTTTTTTAGGTGATATGACACAAAGTTAATACATAAAATTTATCAACACGGCCGTCGTCAGCATTGAAATAAGATTTTTAAAACGAATGGTTCTGTTCTCTTCAAATTGCCGGTATGCTTATAATTTATTGTTAGGCAGGTATAATCTTTTGGCAAATTACCAGTTATAAGACCGCACGTTCTCCAATACATCTTGAAGAAATTGCAGCCAAAGCATTTAGTAGCTATATATCATGGCGTCGGTGCAGGCCGTTGGCTGCGTCTATTTTTCACACATAGTCTGCGAAATTGATCGTGTTAACGTTACGAGAGTTTGGTTGTTACGAGTCGGACGCTTTTTAATTGATTTTTTATATTATATAACATCACTTAGATACTTTGGATATGGATTACATATCTTTGAATAAGGATAGAATACTAGCGACACACTCCGGTTTCACACGGGTGTAATTTATTACAAAACATTGAATTTATACACTTAATAACAGTTTAATTATATTGTATTGTATATAGAAACCATCCGTAAAAATACATCAATATGACAATGAAACCTTTGTTAAATTCTGTTGTTTTAGAGGATGTAAACGAAGAAACAGATGGACATAGCGACATTGTTTTGTACTATTCATAGATATGTAAGTATAATCTGGTAGTGTAATGTATTATACCTATGACACGATTTTATATATATAAAGCTATGTCCGTCTGTTTCTTCGTTTACTTCCTCTAAAACAACAGAATTTACCATATTTTATATATAATATACCTAGAAATGCACAAGATACTTTTCGTATTGTGAAGCGAATAGATTTGTATTTGGTACTTGTTATATTGTACGATAGTTACATAGTTAATGTGCCGAACAAAAGCCGCTACACAATTGGCATAGTTCGTGGTAACAGCTGCTCGCGTATACGGAGTGTTCTAACAATGATATTGTAACTTTAATATTTATTGCACTTGATCAACTCGGGTCGTGCTACGTAGTGCGACGTCACCTATAACACTATTACATATTTATATGTGACCGAAATTAAAAACATGAATGTTCATGCATAAATTTATGAAGGGACCCAATCTGCGTCTAGTCTATAAACAAGCAGAACTTAATTAACTTGACGCCATTGTACGTCGGGACATAAACCCTTATAAACGTTTCGGTTAATATGTTTAAGCGTTGGTATTGCTTTAGGAGACCTAAACTCTTCTGTGAGAGTGTACAAACGCTAGAGGCAGCAGCGGCGGCGCTCCGGCCGAGTCCCGGAGCACGAATGAATTAGTGTTGTTGTGTTGTGACCGGCTAGCCGGCTAGCGGCTGCGGCGGCGTGGAGGGTGGCCAGCAACCCCGCCACCATCACACTGGCGGGGGGCATGTTGCGATTAAAATATAATTAGGAGCTCGGCAATTGTTTCGCCATCGAGCCAGGTGGCTCGGCTCAGGCGGCTAGGTAAATTAAATAGCCGTATAGGGTTTCCAATTACGCTCGCTCGACGGCCGCGGAAAACACGCTTATTGCCTAATAATAGAACCGAGGGGAACAATATGAGGATCTTGTATAGTTGATTAATTATTTCACGCTGAGCGCGGGCTCGTTTATGTTAAAAATTGCACCGGAAATAGTGTGTTCGGGGTCGATACAGTACGCAGGTGTAGCGTCGTATTAATTACAATCGGAAAGACAGTGCTGTGTAATAAATCACATTCAACCTAGAGCATACTTTCAGTATTAATGAATTCAAACGGGCCGCGATAATTGCGTACCTAATTACGGGCGGACGGAGCTGTCTAATTTATCACTGTCGGATTATGAATTAGGAATGGCGTTAATTAAACATGCATAATATTTGTGGTGGCTACACACAGCGAAGTGCGCCATTGTCGTGAGCTATGGCGCCGCGCTCCTCGCCGCGGTCCACGGGCACCGGAACAATTGGATTTCAAACTATTACGGACGCTATTGAAACTTAACGAATACGCTACTGCCTGTATGTGAAACAATATTGTTGACAATCACAATTATGGAATTAGAGTTGTGTGAAAACAGATGAATAAGTTTAATCTTTTATAAATCTTGCGGTGTTTAACTGTACTATGTTTTTGTTTGTTACGATCTCTAATATAAACTGTAACTCAGTGCTTTTATGTTCTATTAACTTTTACATGCGTCTTTGTTCGCGTCATTGAGACATGTTTAATAACCGGGATAAAATTAACCTATATCCTTCTCCATCCTATAATAACCATAAGTATCTATATACCAAATTTCATTGTGATTGGTTAAAGAAACTTAGTTTCACATTTATAATATTAATAAGAATTTACTAACGCTAGAATGTAAAGAGCCTTGCATAGAGAAAAATAAATTAACTGTCTTTTGACTGCTGGATAACATTTTCTATTGACATGTGTTTTGGGAATTGTCAAAATATCAGTCTTGGAGGAAGAGTCCTCCATTTTTTATTATGTGTCTTTTTTTTTATTTATTTATTAAAGGTATACACAACAGGTTACAATCAATAACATTATAGACATTACATAAAGATAATAGATTGAACTAGATTGAGACCCAGACAGGTGTACACACAGCATGGTTAAAGCAGTCGGCAAACAATGTTAAATTATAAAGTTATATAAAGAAAGCATATGAATTTGGTAAATAACAGTGAAGTACATGCAAATAATAAAAATACATAAAGATATGGATACGTTTACTGGTTACCACTGCTAGGATCATAGATGATCATTATAATATGCATATGCTTTTAAGGGACTATTTTAGCAATACAACTGAACATATTTCATAAAAGGACAAACAATTTAGAGTTTCTCATACTAACTTGACATTTAGACAAGTCACGCTATATGGAAGATTAAACGTTTTTCGCTTGTTGAAACATGTTTTACCTTTATAAGTAAAAACTATTGAAAAATAAATAGCAAATCATCATCATCATCTTATATATCAGCTATTACCTTTCTACTGCTGAATATAGGCCTTCTCCATAGACTGAAACGACTGCATTCCAAATGGCAGTTTTTTTATACAACTTAGAATGGCAAACAAACTGATGGCTCACCTGATGGAAAGTGGTAACCGCGACGGTAGACATGAGTTGTACAATGGACATAACAGAGTATATTGTTTCGCCCGTGATATCCTCTATCCGTTGCCATTCCTGAGAACTCAGGTGTTATTCCTCTGTACCCTGTAAATTCACGCCTATCCCACCCTTCAATTCGAACACACAGCCATGCAAACACAACTGCTTTACGTTTTAAACACGAATAGGACAGAGGTACCCAAGCAAACGACTTTTGTACAAAGTCTCCCTCTGATAAGTTTATAATTGGGAGCGATTTGCCAGTTGCTACGCTTTGCAGGCGGGTTGACAACAGCATTCTGGCCTTTAATGATGTTCTACATTAGACATTGCTGCCCATCCTTCAACTATTTAGTTCTCTTAGTTGCCTTTTATGACACCTACGGAAAAAGAACGGGTGGCCTATTCTATGCCGGGGCTACACGGCTAAATATAATAAGACATAATGTAGTATGGTAAAAGGAGGTCAGGTATGTACTATAAGGCGTAATCGTTAAGGGTCAGGCATACCTGTAGCTGGGATTACTGTAGGTCGTGTTGACTGCCCCTTAAACTACACTTAATGATCGATATTTGATACCGCGATGCGATAGCTTTGACTAGCTAAACGTGACAATTATGTTCAACCGCAAATGGTAAACTAGGTCTTTTATTGTTGACAGTATATTTCTTGAATTTTCAGTGTCACAGTACAGCGATCAGCCTAACCGTATTGTAGTTTTTTTTTTGGTTTTGTGTATCAATTTCTTTTATTTCATTTTATATCACATTTGTAATAAACCTATTTATAAATTTTAATTTAATTAAGACGGGGCTAGCCATTATACACAGCTATATCGTCATAGTCGTAGAATACTAATGGATCTGACAAACATTAAATATATATATGATATGCTCATTAAGTTAGATATATTAATTTCAGATTGCTTGGCGAAATATTGGCATGTCTATGTCTTTCTTATAATACCCACTAACGATCCCTGTAGCTCTGTCGTACTGTTAGGTTCGATTCTTAGTCTAGTTAATATTGGAAATAAAGTTTTTATATTGACTTCTCAATGAGTCATGAGAACATGACTCATTGAAGATGTTTCTTCTAAAACACAAACTGATGTAATTTCGATTGATTTGAGAAATAATATATTAGCAGTTATCTTTATTTTTACTACTGTACAATAATTTACATAGATGATTAAAGTTATTCATAAGTTTATACGAAATTTGATTTCGATTAATATAT